TGATCTTTACCTGAACTACTTTGTTGCACCAAGGGGACTGCTTGTCACGATCTCCCTGGAGCCGTTTGTTACTCTTACTGTCACCTGAGAGCCAGCAAACCCCACTCGGACATTGCTGCCTTTTCTGCATAGAGCGAGGCAGGAGTGTAGAAGCCTTGAGTCAGCCTTGAGCCGTCGGAGTCGTCCTTGTCTGCTACCACAACCACTTAGAACCCAGGCTTTTCTTCCAGCGGGGCTTGCTTCTCCAGCAGAGTTTTTGGGGCCCTGGGTCATTTGCTTACAAGCAGAGCCTTTCAGATTAGAAAAATACATTTTTTTAATCCTTGGTCTGTCTGTCTGAGTTATACAACAAGAGAAAATTCCTTCACAAAATCAAACAAACTAAAAGGCAAAGAGGTTTGTGATAAAGAAAAATCAAAATGCTTTTACATAGGACAAAATTCTGTCATTTGGTTTTTTCCCCCCTAAAGTGAATATACTGGTGTTCTTGTTTAATGATAAAAATAATACTCCTTAATTCACATTTTTTTGTCTTTCAGACTTTCTCTGCATACATACATATACAGGCTTTTTTAGTATCTACAATGAGATTGAACAAATGATTTTTTTAACTGCTTTTTTCACTTGTTACTCAGTTATTACTCTTAAGATGCACTTTATCAGAGCTTTGAAAAATCCTTGAGATTTGAGATAACATGAACATTGTTCCTGAATTAAAATCTGTTCATGCAGGAAACCTGCTCATTGTTTTGATACAGACCCAAAGCACAGAGGTCAGGTGTGCACGTCACAGAGTCAGAACTCCCAGGCTCAGATCCCTGCTCTTCTGTAACTGGTTTGCGGCCCTGGACATGCTGCACACCCTCTCCACATCTCAGTTTCATTAAAATGGGGGTGCTGCTGAAACCTGTTGGGAGGGTTGTCAGAGAAATAAAAGATTTAGTTCAGTGCCTCACAAATGCTGAAAACAGGGTAAGTGACATGCAGGGTAAATGTTAGGAGTGTAAGTATTATTATTAAAGTCACATAGCCAGTTGAGTGACCTTGATTTGACCAGTTTTATATTTGAATCCATTAACAACCCATGCAATTGTATTTGCTTAAGCATTGTGTTATATATTTGGTAAACCCCGTTAATGTTGGCCACCATCCTTATCCTCATCTACTCTCTGAATGTAGCCTTCAGAAGCCTTCTGCATATATGAAGGAACGTCACAGAGCACATTTCAAGTCCTTGGGGAAAAGATTTGCTGTTCGGTGCCTATCTTGGATGGCTGGGTAACTCCTTGGAAGAAGTAGTAAAATTCTCCGTATCCTACCACAAACCAAAATAAAATCTAGATGGAGTTAAAGCGGTGAGGGCAAGCTAAAAGAAAATCGGTGTTTTTTAAATGGTAGGATGAAGAAGACTTTTATAAGCATGGTCCTAAAGCCATAAAGCGTCGAAGAAAATACTGAGAGACTTGCCAGTACCACAACTAAGACAAATTCTGTCCTGCGAAAGGACGTCATTGACACAAGCGTGAGTTAAAATGGCTCTTTACTCAGGACGATCACCTGTGAGTTTACTGATGAAGTCGGAGAAGGTCCTGAGATCGCTCTTCTCCAGTGGTCCTCCTAGCCAGCTTATTGATTTACTAATTAGGCTGTGATTTCACCTTACTGGCAGTGAAAGTGGCATCTGCCTGTCCTGCTGGGGGATCCAGCCTGGTAACTGAGGTGGGTACTCAGCCTTCACTACAAGGGAGCTCCCTGTGGTTAGATAGACTCATCTGTCGCTTGGTAACTATAGGACTACTCTGGTGGATGTCCGGGAAGTCCGTTGGAGAGGGGTTCGGGTGTTCGGAGGGCAAGGAGGGCAGGAAGTTGGCAAGTTACTGGGAGAACTGCAGCTTGGCAGAAGGAATTGAGCCCACATGTGCCCATGGCAGGTTGGGGCTAGAACGTTTCATCTTCCCATCTGTACTTGGCCTTTTTAGCACTGGGCCTCAGAACAAAGGAAATGCAGTGAGCTGGCCCAGGGAAAAGATGGGTCCTGTTGGGGTGATAGCAGGGAAGCCCTGCAGGGTCGACCATGGGGTCCTTCCTCTAAGGAAGCAGGCTGGGCCTGGAAATTATAGACACCTGCTTGCTCTCTGGACCACCAAAAACCTTGGGGTTCGGGTTTGCACCCCAAATTGAAAGTACAGTGACTAAAATGAGATCATAAAATAGGAACTCTGAGGTCATGACTGCAAGGCAAACAGGACCGTATTCAAGCCCTGCTTCCTGACGGCACTTCCCACCTCAGTGTGGGTTCGAGGACCCTTAATGAACGTACCTGCTCAGCGGCACAGCATGCCCACCAGAGGTCACCTTCCACTGCCCTGTCCCGGCTGTATTTGTCTGGGAAGGGACGGATCTTGTGGCCTGCGTGGTGTGTGTGTGTCTGCAGTGGGTGTGTCTGCCATGTGTTGTGCACATTGGTGTGGCCTTCCGCACCATTTCTTCCGCTGCGTCGGTGGACCTCCAGTCAGCGCAGCACACTGCCGAATGCGTTGGCTGGAAGGGTGCGGCTCCCACAGGCCGAGCTTGCTCTGCCGGCAGGTAGTGTATCAATCACCCAAATGAGATTCTGGTTATTTATTTTGCTTTAGTAGTGGCAGGAGCAATCACTGAAGTTGTAGAGCTTATGCTGGGAAGGATATTTTGACTGAAATTTTGCATATTTTGAAACTTGGGTTGTTACATTTAAAATTATACACATTGTGAGTACCTGGCTTCAAAAAGGTGAAAGAAAAAGCATTCCTTCCTGTCAGAACCTTTTCACTCTGTCTGTCATATAACCTGACTAAAAATAAACGCCAAGCACCAGAACTGGCAGCCTTCAGTTTGGAACAAGTTCAGTGCCGCCAGCTCAGCCTGTCTCCTGCTGCTTCCAGACCACACTCGGCACCCCATACTGGTACCGTTGCTTCTGCCCGGGGTACCAGCACCCAGTCCACGCAGGCAGGGCCTCAGAAAAGCCCTGCCCAGCTGTGAGTCCTGGTTCCTGCATTGCCTTGGGGCAGTCCTTTGGCATCTCCGGACCTTAGTTTCCTCATTTTTAACTGTGATTGACTGAAATCCACATTCCAGCCACCAGCTGGCACCTTATAGGTCTTATTTTATTCAATTCTTACAAAACCTCATGAATTCTGTTCTTTGTATCATCCTCATTTTCCAGAAGAGGATCAACTGAGACATACAGCATCTGAGTGACTCATTCCGTGTCACTCAGCTGGCAGGCAGCAGAGCAAGGCCTCTCCACCCCTCCGCCAGCCTTTGTGTCCCCCTCACTCCTTGCTCCTTTGTCATCTGGCTTCTGCCCCATCATCCCTCTAAAACTCCTGTGAGACCACAGAGGAGTCCCTCTTTCAAATCGTGCTCATTTGTCCCCCTTTTCACGCCTGACTGTTATGTCCTGGACCAGCAGCCTGGGGGGAAGAGCGCAGGCTTTGAGTCCGCCCGACCTGTGTTTGCATCTCAGCTTCTGCCCTTATGGAACAGATGGTCTTGGGCGAGGTACCTCGCCTCCTGCGGTCTTGGTTTCCTTGTCTGTAAAATAAGGGTGCTAATCCTGCCTGCCTTGTCTGATGAAGATCATGTGCAGTAACGTAGAGCCCAGAAGGCATTTCCCTGGATAGTTCTCACCCCCTGAGCCCCGTCCCTGACGGACACACACCCTTACTGTAAACTCCCAGCCCTTGGCTCCAGCCTTGTTTTCAGCGCAGAGTTCAGCTCCCTTGCTGCTCCCTGGGTGTCACAGCAGAGAACCACCGTAGGACGGTCGTGGGGATGGAGCTGCCCTGCCACTCGCACCTGCCCGTGGAATGTGCTTGTCAGTAGGTCTGGTTGTACGTGGGTATGATTATAATGCTAGGACTGGATTCTGTAACCTTCCATAATCAGCTTAGCGTAGTAATAGTCCTGTTTCTAATTCTTGGGTTTTAAAGGAGGTCTCTTATATTTATTTTCACCACAAATTTAGTCCAATTTATCCTCTGATTAGTACAGCCAAGAAAATGTAAATGTAAGTAGTAAGGGTGACATCTACCTTTTGTAGGAACCTCAAGACACTATATTATCCTAGAACACTGCCATTTTAGGGTTGAAGGAATTGCTAACGTAGCAATATAGACTTTGTAGTAATGGCACTCCTATCTTAAACATTATTTTACTCTTCAATTTTCCTATAGTTTACCCGGTATACAGTTGAACCTATACAGAATCCCTCCTCTCATCTTCTGGCCACATGGTAAGGCTGCTGTTTTTTGTAAACAGTTACTAAGATTCACCATCTGAAACTGATTTTCAGCCTTTTGAGTTTTCCATGTGGGCCTGGGCCGGGAGACACCCCCCCACACCCCTGTCTGTGGCGTGCAGAGAGCCCCGTTCTGGCTGCAGTGCAGACACCGACACTCTGCCCAGGCACTCCTGGGGTTTGCTTGTTTTGAGGTCAGAAATGTTGACAAGAGTCTCTTCAGTCAGTGGGGGATGTCTGTGACTGACCCCACCCCTCCCGCTGCCCGCTGTTTGGCCCCTCAGGATGGCCCCCCAGTCCAGGAGGAGGCCGAGTGCCTTAAAGCAAGGAGGCTGGCGGGCTTCTACTGCTGAGCGTTGTTGGGTTTCAAAGCGGTTTCTTCCCCCATCCTCTGGCAGACTGCTGTATCATACACCTCATTTGCCATCAGAGTATGAGTGTGTACCGTTCTTTTTTTTCCCTGAAAACAACACAGAACAAAGCCTCACTTTTAAAAATGCCATGATATTTTGCCACCGTTATGAAAATCTGTCAGCGCCGTATCTAATCTCCTGGTGCCTAGAATATCAAAACAAGCACCATTGAAGGGATTGTACTTCTGTTAATGCAGAAATGTCAGTTCCACAGTCTCGGAACCAGCTGCTCTCAGCCTCCTTCCAAATAGGCAAGAAAAAAAATAATAAAGTTTCTTTTCCTTTCTGCTGTTACTGTTCCTCAGGCCTGACCTTCATAGGAAGACTCAGAGTAAACACCACCTTGCTGAAATCTTGCGTTCGGAATACTCGAGCGGGATGGAGGCCTGCGTCGCCAAGGTCAAAAAGCAAAACAAACATGCGGAGCCCGGCAGCCAGCCATGCAGCGCTGACTGCACCCGACTCCCAGCCTCGGCCGTGGGAAAACAAAAAACACTCTCCATGAAACAGAGAAAAGTGCAGAAAGACTTACTGAGGGACAAGAATTCCCAGAAAGTTTTTTTAAACTCTGCTTCCACAGGGCTGGGCCTCCAAGTGGATCTCAGGGGCCCCTGGAGGCCCTAGATTGCCATCCATATTCTTGTCAAGAAGTACTGGTGCCGCCCTGCCCTGAAGACTAAGCCCCTGAGGCTCCTGGAGCCCCAGCCTTGCCTCTGGTCAGGGGAGCCCTCCCAGAAAGCAGTGGGGCGGAGGTGGGGCGAGCGCCCGCACAGTGTACGCGAGCCACTTAGCTTGTGCCTTATGGAAGGTACCTTACATCTTGCATTTATCCCACCAATGCCAGACACTTGTCTTTGCCAGTAGAGCAAATGGCGCCCCCACAACTTACTGTAAAAGCCTACTGTCCCCACCTCAGCCAGGAGGGCCTGGGAGCCAGCCTGGGACAGCGTTTTGCTGTAGCCATCCAATCAGTGCATCTATTGTCATGAATTTTGTAAAATAGGATTTTAAAGTCTTGAATTTATAAAAGAAGAGGAAAAAATTTATCACATCTTTTTCTTGATCTACAAATGCTTTGTTTAAACCAAGAGAATTTGGGGTGTGGGTGAAAACTGCCCCTGAGTTTCACATGAGCCCATGTCTTCCAAATGCAGGCTGGTGCTCTGAACTGCGTGTCACGTTCACAAGCATTACAGTCTCTTTCGTGTCCTCGGAAAACTCTTTCGGGGCTAACTGATGTACGGTTGTCTTCTTGTTTGCCTTTGAAGCCAAAAGGCACTGATGCCCTGAGTTTTTTCTCCCCTTGAGTCCCATCCTGTCTTCCAAAAGGTCTAGGGGGTCTTTGTATTGTGACGCAGGCCTCAGCCGCCTCTCCCCCGTTGTGTTTTCTGGGACTTTTGAAAGAGGGCCCCCGGGGAGTATTGATTTCCCAATAAATGTAAGACTTGGACGTGGTGACCCCAGGGGGGTCCAGAGGAAGGAGGGTAAAAGCCTCTGACCCTGTGTCTGCCACGCTGTGTCCACCTCTTCGTCAGTGTCCCTTCCTCCCTTCCCCACTCCTGAGATGGGTGTTGAGTCGCCAGTTCAGCAGACCTTCCAAATTCACATGAACTCCACAGCCAGGAGGGATCACGAGAGGTGCAGGAAGGGCCATCCATGGGGACTGCGGCCGGGGCAGCGCCCTTGCCTGCGTCCCTGTCTGATGGCAGCTGTCACCCACACCGGACCAGAAGGGACTCGCTGGGAGCGGGTGTGAGCCTCCTGAGCTTTGATCCTCTGCAGGAAGGAAAATCCGGCCTTCTCAGAATTGGCTGTCACATGCGAATTAATAGGGACGGTTGGTGAAATTTGTACGATAATAATAATAATAAAACCCATCAGCACATGTCAAACCGACTTTGGGCAAATTTGCCAATTTTTATGTCACTGTAATGGTTCACATGATTTGGATGAGAAAAGGAGAAATCATACGTTAGGGATAAAACCCAGCTGTGTGAGAAACAGGATTAATGCCAGTGATTGGGGATGATCAAAGAGAAACCCTACTTTTTTTCCCCCATAGTACTCATTCCATTAAAGGGCGAATCTGCAGAGCCCTGCGTTCCTGGATGGGGACAGGGGAAGTGCTAGTACCTTGCAAAGTGTTTAAGTGACTATAATTTCAAGATCAAAATTTAGGCTTAATTTGCTGACCCTCAGGTGAGGTTTCTTACAGATGCTTTGTGGGCCTGTTTCCAAATAGAATCAATATATTGCCCCCAGTTAATAAAGAAATATGGATTTAGCAGGTTTAGGGTTAATGTTATCTAAATTTAAATAACATTAAAATAAATCTCCTATTACGGCTCTTGACAGATTATACGTTTCAGGCATCAATTAGGCAAAGCTTTAGCCTAATTCCATTGTACATACTCTTAATTTTGCGTGTATTTTTAATTGTGCTGCCTTTTCTAATTTTCCAAATTTACCTATTTCTCTGTGTCATAAGCCTGATCCCCATATTTGAAGTCGCAGAAAATTTGGGCATTTCAAGGAATGTGCAGCCTAAAGCTCTTTCTCCCTCGTGGGCTTGTAGAATGCTTTTTTTAAAAAATCATGTTTGTAACCCTAAGCGGTTGCACATCTTCAGAGGGGGCCCCCCATCCTCACACACTGAAGGGCAAAGAGCCCTTGGCGAGTGATTAAGTCAGCGCTGATGCAATGTGAACGGCATCCTCCACTCAGAGAAGCCCAGAGCCAACCAAATCTCAGCAAAGGACGTTTTGACAAAGCCCAGTGGATTCCTTTGATTTTTTTTTTTCTTTCCTGCAGGAAAGGGAGGCAAGATTTAGGGAAGAGTGGGGAGTAAATGGAACCCCTTCTGGCAGGTCATCCCAAATGGTTAGCGAGTCGCCTTGCTGTTTAGCACCTCAGCCCCTCAACATACAATCGATGGAAGCCATTAAAATCCGACCGTCGCGTCCAGGAGACAAAATGTCAGGCTTTCCACTGGTGAAGTTGCCTTGCTTGAAAAGGGTGCCTAACTGGCCTTGTTAAATTACCTGCATGACTGTTACACCTTATCTCTTAATCTGTTCCGTGGTGTGAAAAATTCATAGGAAGGCCTGTTCATCAGTGTGGGGGCAGCGGGGTACGGTTAAAATCTGCTTGACTTCTTAAAATTTTCCAGAAGTCTCGCAACAAGGCTAGTAAAGGGATCTGAACTTCCTTTAATCTTGCTTCTCTCCTGTTGAGTCTGGGTTTATAAATGGGTGGGGGTGGGGGTCTTCAGTGCCTCTCCAGGGCCGCCTCCTTTTGTTCTGCCCACCGGGGGTCTCTCACTCATTCTTTCCTATTTGAAACGAGTGAGTTTGCCCCACTCCAGGGCTGGGAACAGAGAAGCCAATTTAGCCTTCTAACTGGATGAAAGCGGGAGCCCACCTCACTGCAAAGGTTGTAAAGTTATTATTACAGATGGGAAGTGCAGGACAATTTAAAATATTGTAATTATAAACTTGTAGGGAAGCCTTGTTCTTCATTAATGTAAGATATGAAATCGCCTCTGAGGTACAAGGACAATTACATAGTTGAGGATGTGTGTGTGATTTACACTGCCGCTGTGTAAATGCAAGGGCGGCCGCTGCAGTCTATCTACCTCCTCCGCTGCCACAAAATGAAAAGCACACCAGTGCAAGTTGTCCTTTGATAGATTTTTAATATGATTTTAAAGAGTTTTGTTTGGTTTCATTCTTATTCAATGAGATTAATTTAAAGCACTTATCCCCTGGGTTTAAGTCAATCCGTGTAGGATTTGGACGGGGTTTGTTGCTTGGGGGGTTTGTTTGCAGGAGGCTATGAGAGACTCCTTTCCCACTTCATTAACCCTGAGTTGGGGACCGTCTCCCCTCGCCCCCCACCACAGCCGAGCTGGGGATTTACCAACCCCCATTCACATGCAAAAGAACTAGAAAGCCGAGGGGCTCCTTGACTTAATCAGCTGCTGTGCATTTTGCAAAATTAGAATAATACCCTCACCGTCCCAGGAAAGAAAAGCGGTGGTGTGAGGGGTGGGGGGTGGGCAGGAAACTAGCAGGGTCCGGTTTTAAGGGGTGGGGTCATGGTTTACACATGCCCTCTGCCCCTCCTCCAGGAGGCAGTCCTCTCCCAGAGCAATCCTGCCCATACTGCAGGGGACTCGGCTTGCTGGGCCCCAGAACTTCCCAGTCCTGGGCTGTCTTCCATCCTGGGAGTCTGAGCTGCAGGTGGTGTGTGGTGGGGGAGCACCTGTGCCCACCTCCCCAGAGAGGGAACGGCCTCAAGAGGTGACCTTGGCCCTTTGAATGTGAACTGGAGGCCTCAAATCTGGCTAGAGATTTAAACCCACTCCCCTGGGGTCCTGGAGCCGCAGGCTGTGGCGTGGGTCAGATGCTGGGATTTGGTTCCCTCCGGGGCTCATCTCCAGTGGACTCCTAGGCTAACGGGGAATTAAGCAGATGCAGGAGTGGAGGGTTACAGATGTGAAGCCAGGGCCCCAGCGAAGACGCGGTCGGGTCCTACGCGGCCCGGGCACCCGCGAGCGTCGGGAGCTGGAGCGCGGTTGGGCGAGCGGCCGAGGGGGCTGATGGGGGCAGCTCGGAGCCCATCTGTCAGCCCCACGCACGGCAGGCCGGTGACCAGCTGCCGGCACCCTTGTCGTGGCCAGATGAGCCGGCTCAGCGAGGGTCCCGCAGCCCAGCCGCGGCAGAGCAAGCCGGGTGCTGACCCCCACGCGGCCCCAGGACTGGCTGGAGCAGCCAGAGCCCAACGGGGAGGAAGGCGGCGGCGGGAGTCGAGGGCTCCCCTCTGTAGAAATAGGAAGACTGAAGCCAGGGAGGGGAGACCCTGACTGAGGCCCCGGGAGTCCATTTGGGGCCCTGCCCGCGACCACAGCACCGAGGAGGAGAGGGGAACAAAAATACTTCCTTATTGAGGACGGAAGGAGACCACGTCCCAGGAGGGGAGAACGGATCCTTAGGGGGGATGGGAAAGAAGGGTGGAGTGCGGACAGGCGCCTGTCATTTGTAAGAAGTTTATTTCGACATTTAAAAAAGAGAACCCGAGGGGCCTGGCTGCCCACCCCCGAAGGCTGGAGGTGTGGGGGCTGGGGCTCGGGGTGGGTGGGCAGGCACCCTTGACCCCTTCCTGCCCTGCCTGGGCAAGGCGGGGAGGGCACAAGCCACAGACTCACTGATTCACGGACACGGTCACGGGCTCGTGGGTCACGAATAAATAACTTCATATACACTTCGCACCGTACGTACAGCTCTGCTGCTCCGGGCGCTCGGGCAGAGGGGCTGCACACAAGCCTCCGCCTGGCAGGGGTGCGGGGAGAGAGCTTGTGTACAGCTGGAGCATGGAGCCGGGGGAGAGTGCAGCCTGCTCCTGGGGAGGACGAGGGGCGCCCGCGGTGGGGCGGGGGGCATGTATGTACACCCACGGAAGTGGCTCCCTGACGGAGCCGCCGGGGAGGGTTAGGGAGACTCAGTCCGGGGCCCGGGCCTCAGTAGACTTGGCTTTGGGCCCTTCGGGGACACTGGCTGGGGCGCCTGGGAGGCCGGACAGGGGGCCCCTGGAAGGGGCGTTGAAACCCGCGCCCTCCGAGCTTCAGGCAAAGGGGGCGGCGGGGCGGCGGGCGCGCGGTTCACCGAGGCTGCGCGGCGCGCGGCAGGACACCCGCCAGCGGGGGCAGCGGCGGGGGCGGCTCGCTGGCCCCCTGGAGTCCGTGGATGAGGATGCGCGGGACCAGAGGTCTCTGCAGGGCGGGCGGGGGCGCGCTGGGCCCGCGGTACAGATACAGTGCGGCGCCGGGATCTAGGTTGGAAACGAGACTCTGCGGGTAGAAATAAGGCGACGGGAACATCCTCTGGAGCGCCGAGTAATTGCCTGCCTCCGCCAGCAGCTCCAGCCCGACGGCAGTCTGTCGCTTCCATTTAGTCCTAGAGACCAAAGTAAACCCATAGGGCGGGGTCGGGACCACGGCACCAGGAGACCATGCCCCTCAAGGAGTGCGGCCCAGAGACTCGCAGGGAGGCCGCGTGGGACCGCGGAGTGTGTTAGCGGACTGCAGAGAGCCAGGCACCGTTCTCACCTGTTAGGGTCTTCAGCTCCTTTAATCTTCCACCCAGGCCCGCCACGTCTATACGCCCCATTTTACACATAAGGAAACCGAGTCATGGGCCAGTTTTAGAAATGGTCTCAAAAGGCAGGGCCAGGCTGTCTGCGTCAAAAGACTGGGTTCTAAGTTGGCTACATTCTGCTTCGGGGATCACACGGGACCCTTGGAGCTGGGCCTTGGGCCTCCGCTGGCATATCCATCCCCTGGGGAGACCCTGGGGTGGGGCTGCTAGCCATAGAAAGAGACCCAGCTGATTCTCCCAGGGGCAACACCGGCCTGTGGAGGCCAGCACCCCCAATGTATGCCAGTTAGCGGCTACTGCGGAAGCTCGGAGGACGACTGCAGCACGAGTGGGCCGCCGTGCACACAGCCCCTCTTGGCCGCTCCGTCTCACCCGCTGCCCTCTGTACCCAGGTCCAGGGCCTAGGGTGAGCCTTGCAGCCTTTCTGGCCCTGAAGTCAGGAGGCCTCCGGCCGACTATGAACCGATTTGGGAAGACAAGCAAGTCGAGGCCACACACCCTTTCACCTCAGAGCTTCGGCCAGACTTCTGGGTGCACCTGGCCGGCAAGGCTGGGCCGGCCAGTCTCGGTCCCACTGAGGCAGGCTCAGCCACCAACGCTGTTTCCCTCCCTGAATTATTCATCATCATCATAATTGCGTAATTACTGTAACAGGCCTTAATTATTGATGCCCGGAGCAGTAATGGTATTTATTATTAATGGAGCGATGTGTTCTGAGGCTTGTTTATGGAAAGCACCATTCCAGCCACGGCTGAGAGGGTATGTTTGTGTGTGACTGTGTTAGTTGTGTCACTGTGTGTCTGTAGGTGTGTGTGCGTGGCTACAGATGTGTGTGTGTTGTACTCATCTATCTTCATCCTGTGAATGTGTTGGGGAAGGAGATTAGGAAACACCCGGTTCAAGACCACTGCCAACACCAATTTCCCAGTCTCCTGATCCCCAAGGAGTTGGAAGGAGGCCTGTTCCTTTCTCAGGTGTCAGGACTGGGAGGGCTAAGAAGGCGGAAGAGCCCTGGGAGAGCTCGGCCACCCCTCCCTCCCCCAGCGGCTGCCTGGGCTGGGCTGGGCTTCCTCCCCCAGGTGTGTTCTGGCCACCAAAGCTTCTGCCCTCTCCTGGCCTAGCACTTCTGCTGGGAGAGTTCAGCAGCTCCCAACAGTGGGACTAGGGCTGGCCCGGGGGTGGTAGGACCCTGCCTGGGTGGGAAGGCCTTGGACCTCTGCTGGCCCTATATCTGTCCACTGTCCTGGGTGTGGATGATGGCCCTGGAGACCTATTCCTGCTCTGTACCTTTCCCTCACTGTGGACTTTGGGCAGGGCCATCCCTCCTGCGGGCCTCAAGGTCCCCACTGTACAGAATGGGGAAAGCTCAGGGACCCTCAGCATCAGGCGACGGACTCCTGGGTCCCATAGAGAGGCGGTGGGAAAGGAGAGGGGACCCTTTCAGCCCCCACGCGGCAGCCAGGCCTCACCTGCGGTTCTGGTACCAGGTCTTGACCTGTGTGTCGGTGAGGTTGAGCGACGCAGCGAGCTCCATGCGGTCCTGAACGCTCAGGTACTTCTGCCGCTCGAAGCTGCGCTCCAGCTGCGCCAGCTGATGGTCGGTGAAGGCTGTGCGCGCCTTGCGCGGCTTTTTCAGGCGCACCGGGGGGCTGTCCCGAGAGCTGGAGATCTCGCGGTCGCCCTCCTCCTTCACTGCGGAGACACAGCGGCACGTCAGGGCCCGGCCTCGCCGCCTGCCCGTCCGCCCGCGCCCTGGCGTCCCTGCCCGCGCCGGCCCGTAGCGCTCGTGTGAGCGTGGCTCCCGACGGCGGCGGCCGCGCCGCACTCCAGCGCGTGGGGGCTGTGGGTCCCCGGATCCAGGGCGCGAATACCGACGGAGGATTGGCACCTCTGGGCAGAAGTAACCCAAAGGCCAGAGAGCTCGATCCGCTTGCGCTCCTCGACTCTCCCTGGAGGGGTAGACGAGTAGCCGCGGTGCAGCTGAGCGTCCGGTGGACCCGCGGGGCAGGATAGGGACCCAGGGGCTCCAGCCGGACGGGCCGCGCGGGGCTGTGCTTCTCATCTGCGCCCCGATTCCGCTTTCCCCCAGTGCGGAGAAAACCCGCGTGGAGGGACGAAACCCCGTTCGCCTCGGAGCGAATCGCTGTCCTGAAAACAAACGCTTGTACCCATGTCTCTCCCGGCCCCGAAAGGATGCGGTTCTGCAGCGACCGTTCCTCCCGATTCTTAGGCCGCCTGCAGACAGGGCGCGGGGCCGGGGTCGGGCCGGGCGGGCCGCCGGCGCGCGTCCGAAAGCGCGGAGCCTCGGGAAACAGGCGAAGCCTTAGAGGGCGCGCGGCTGGGGGCGCTCTCCGTGCGCTCGCGCGTTTCTACCCCGGCGTCGGGACACCCCAGCCTGGACTCCGCTCCTGAGCCCCAAGAACGGCCTCGGCAAAGGCGGTTTCTTTCTCCCCCAGGCACTTCCGTGCGGGGTGGACCCGCCCGAAAACAAACACCCGATCGGGCGAGCTCAGCATCTCGCTCCTCTCCCCGCAAAGCACTTTAGAGGGAGGCCGTTTCCCCAAAACTAGTGGCGCGGTCTGGGGCTCCCCCTCTTTTTCTCCATTTCCCTTTATGCCGAGTTTCATTGTGCGCTCGCAGTGACAGGGTTCAGCTGAACGCGAGTGGATTTCTCTCTGTAGGAAACAATAATCCGGTTAATTGAGACACTAGGGAGCGAGACTTTTCAACCGGAAAGGCAGCGGTGGGGCCGGGAGGGCGCCGGGCAGCGGGAGCACCGAGGCGGGAGCGCAGGGAGAGCGCGGGCGGGGAGAACCCGCACCAGCGGCCGGCCTGCCTTCCCCGCGCCGCCCGTGCGGCTGGCTGGCCCTGCCCTCCTGGGCTCGGCCGACCCGGAGGTGTGCTGGGCTGGGGAAACGAGTTCCGTCCATGCCAGCAGGTAAAGTCTAAACAAGTATGAGGAAACAATCGTCCAAACCTCAAACTTGATATTGTGGGAATCACCTTTTCACCTAATTGCCCGGATTATTTATGAAAATCCCTTCTCAGGGCTGAGGTGGGAGGCAGTTTGTGGGGGCAGGAGGAACGGGTCGGCTGCTGGGGCTTTGCTCCAATCTCCCCGGTGCAGGCTACAGCCTTCAGATGCCGGATGCACGCTGGGCACCGCTCAGCTTCAGCCTCGGGAACAGGCTCGGCCGGTGGGGCCTCAGACTGTGGCACAGGGGCCACATCTCAACGCCCCGGACTTCCATGCCCACTCGCCCTGCCTACTTGGAGTGAAGTGTTGGTTTGGTTTCTGCTCGGATGTTGGCTCTAGCAGGCAAGACCCAGGGCCAGGCTGCCTTACTTCAAAGCTTCAGCTTTTTTACGTGTGTGATGCGTGAGGGGACCGTGACACCAGAACCTCGGGGTGGGACTGGCCTTCCCTCTATGCCCTGCTTCGACTGCATTACTCTTAGCATGGAGAGTGGGTGGAGAGTCGAGTTGCTTAGATGCCCACCCTGTGTCTGTCTCAGCAAATCTTCCCACTCAGGCCCTGAAAAAGTCACGTCCACATTTGAGAAATGCTCAACCATGCCTTGGCAGTGAATGTTCCCACTCTCTTTTTCATCGCAGGCTTCGTTGGTACAAAGGCGGCAGCGCCTAGGGGTGCGGGTGGGGGGAGACCTTCCACCCACCTCTGCTGCAAACCTATTAAAGCGATATGTGGACAGCCGGTCCTCATCACGTCCCTGATCAGATATCGTCAGGGACCGGAGATGAAAATTGATATTCCAATTACCTTAAATGAAACCTCTCCTCAAAATCCTACCTATGGGCAAAGGAATAAAAGGAGACAAGAGCCAACTCTTTCGCAACCAACAGCACCAGTCATTAGCATGCAGTGTGAGGATTCTTGCCTCTTACTCTAACTATAGGCTGGGTGTTGCAGATGAGAATTATAAATAATAAAACACGATGTTATAAATATGTTTCCGTTATCTCCCTCCCCCCATTCTCAACTCCTGTCTTTCCAGGGCAAATTTTCTTGATTCTCTAAACAGGCCCCAGGGGGAGGAGCAAGGTTCGCTGGGCCACATGCCTCTCGACCTCTTTCCTGGTTCTCTAGCTCGACCCGCCCGTTTCTAAGCATGGTTGGCACAGTGAGGCTGAAGGAGGCTTGGCTGTTTGTGGGGTTGCATAGGGGAGTGAGATGTGGAGCAGGGCCCCAGATGGGTTTCCGCTGGAGGTTAGGACACATCCACAAACGAATTCTTGGTTGGGAGGAGAGTGTGAAATGAGTCTTCCTAAATTTTTGTGAATATTTAGTACAAACGGGTTAGGAAGAGCAGGGCCCCCAAGACAATAAAGAAGTTGCCTTTACAGGGAAGTTTAATCTCATGAAAAGGGTTCTGAGAGTTAATTATAAGGCTGAAAAAGCTCTGAACAGCCTCTGCCAGCCCCTGGTTTTCCCCTGGATGGGGGACACAGGGCTCTCTCCCTTGAAGCCCTGATAACGCCTTCACCTCCTGCCTGCTGACTTCTTCTTAGAAAGACTTTGTGCCTCTGGCCTCAACAAAGAGTAAAGTCAAGGTAATGGCTGGGGGCAGGAAACAGAATTTCTTTCCTGCTTCCCTTCCTTCCCTTTCTCTCCTCCCTTCCCTCTTTTCCTTTTATTCCCAATCTCAGCTCCCTGGTTTAGAAGGGAGCAATGACAATGAAAAGATTGACGGAGGCGAAAAGGCAAGTAGAGAGGCAGCAACCCCAATAGAGGGGAAGCAGGGCTAGTTAGCTGGGAATCTCTGGGTCCCACTCGCCACCTGAAGTTGATTGCTCAATGCACTTAAAATCAAATTCAGTGAGAACAGTTGGGTAGGTGCAGGGTCCTCCCCTCTTCACCAGACCTCTGAACCTGCTCCCAGTCAGCCGCCTGGCTGCTGTTTCTTCTTTGAAGTGAGCATTTTCTTTTGCATGATTCCCAGGGCCCTATTGCGCTGGGCCTAATGGGAAGGAAAGCCCAGTTCCTCCTCCCATCCGAAAGTTCAGATTAAAGGGTGGAAAATTCTGATTGTTCTCTGGGCTCCGGCTGAAATTTCCTGCCAGTTTTTTACCCTTAACGAAAGGACATTCAAGCAGAACCCTTTGGGTATTTCATTGCTTGTACATGGCCTTTTCCCAGTCGAGAGCCACCGGCCTGATAGGAACCTGCTCCTGTCTACCAGCACTGCTGGAAGGGTGGTTCCAGCTGAAGTTCAGAAGTTTGCCCGGCATTTGGGGAATCTCTCCTAGGGCACACAGTATCCCTCTCCGCGCTCTCTCCGCTGGACTCTTTGTTGCTCAAAGCCAAGCTGTAGCCACAGGGCCAGCTGAAAGGTTCAGACAAGACCTACTGCTCAGCGCAGGCCATTGGGGAGCTCCGAATGAGCATGTGCATGTCCCCAAGTGTGTGAACTTAAAGTTTAAATACTAATTTTTAGGAGTATAACATCCCCCCAAGTTTTCAGCTCCCGACTTCTTACCTTTGTACTCAGAATCTGAGGAATTGTTGCTTCCACTTTTGTCCAGCTTTTCTCTAAAGTCCTCCCCGGCCTTGGCCGCAAGACGGCCCCCAGGCTCAGGGGCAGCCGGCTGCCCGCTGCTAGAGTAGGGTGCACAGGCCGCTAGTGGTTTGCAGTCGGCAAGGATGTCCCTGATCAGAAAGGAGGAGGTCACGGTGCGCGACTGGGCTGGGGCCGAGAGCTGCCCAGGCTGCAGGAGGGAGTCCAAACCTGGGCCTGACGCCCCACCAGGCCGCGGGGCGCCCGTCTCCAGACAGTCCCTTCCTGGCGAGGCTGGTGAAGAGCAGTCGCTGCTGCTCTCCGAGCGCGGACTCAGCTCCAGGGGCGAGCGGCAGTCCCCGAGCAAGGGGTCCCCCTTGGGAAGGGCGGGGCTGCCCGCGCGGTGGGAGAGAATGGAGTCGATCCCAAAGCCATTGGAGCCTTCCATAGCCAAGCTGCGACCTGTCCTCCCCAGAAGCTCCCCACCCACCCCCAACCCCAGCCGCTGCTGCCCCTGCCCCTAGCTGTGGGCTGGCATGGGGAAGGCGGGCAGGGAGCCTGCGGGCACCTTGGACGGAGTTCAGCCTTGGGGGAGCCCAGGAGCTCTGGGCCAACCTCCTCTGCGCATTAGATCCAAAAGGGCTCAGCGCGTCTTCTGCAGCACAGCGCTGAGCTGCCGAGCCGAGGGGGGTGGGTGGGAGTGCCAGGGAGGAATGGGGGGAGGGTGCGCAAAGCTGGGGAGAGCAGAGGGGGAGACGGACGGCCTGAGCGCCCCTCTGGCGCAGAAGAGATGCGAGGATACTAGAATCTAAATAAAGAACGGCTTTTTAAAAATCCAAACCGTCCGCTTCCTCCAAGCGCGCGGCCGCCGAAGGCGGAGGGATCAGCACCGCGGACAGCAGCGGGCCCGAGCCGCCCTACCAGCCGGCGGAACCGAGCGCACCTGGCGGCGTCAGCACCGCGGATAGCGGCGGCCCGCCGCGCGCGGCGCTCCACCTGGCCGGGGCGGTCCTCCCTCGGCGCTCCCGGGGGCCCGTCAGCACCGCGGACAGCGCCGCCGGCTCCGCGACCGCAGCTCTCGGCCGGTCCTCCGCGCGCGCCTTCGCCTCCCCCCCTTTCTTTAAAAAATGAACTTGTGTCACTTTTACTTTGGGGCTCGGGTTTTTTTTTGTTGTTGTTTCTATTTTTTTTTTCGTTGTGTTGTGTGTGTGTTTTTTTTTAAAGGGGACTCGCCCACGTGTCCCCGGAGTGATGACGCTGATTGGCTCTGGCCGATTTTGGAGGTGATGTCACGGCTCCGCAAGCCGCTGCCCGATTCCCTTTCAGTTTGATTAAAAGAGACACTGAATTAATTACAGCACAGACCCAACTGTTTACCGGCGATTTCCACACGGTTTGCTTTCATTAGGCCGGTGATGAGCCTTCTAATGAGGGTGATTAGCCGAGGGGGGTCTGCGCTGTCGGGGAGGGGTCCGGGCCCGGCCGCCGGGGCCGGCGGGTTGGGATATGAGTTTTTTTTAAGTTTCCCCCTACCCCTTCCCACAATTATTCAAATTATTCGTCCGCGGGGTTGTCATAGATCCTCTTTCTCCCCATTTTTCTTCCTCCAGCAACAGGAAGGGATTAGACCCAGCAGAGAAAGCAGTGTGTGTGTGGGGGGCTCTGTCCCGGCGTGGCGAAGAGATGTTAACTTGTTAACATTGTTTTCGGGCCGTTTTGCTGGGTTCTACATGCAGCCCGTTGTGGACCCTGAGGGCCAGGCAGGGGTGGGGAAACTCAGTGTGTGCCCCGAGGAGAGGCCGGCACGACGGCTTCACTGTGGGGCGTCGGAGGCAGGACGTGGGAACGCCGGGCCTCGGACGAGAAATCGTGTGGCCCGAGGCAGGCAGCGCAAACGGCAAGGAAGGCAGGACTACCGCGTCCCGGGCCGAGTGTTTCTGTACCTCTGAACAGGAACGCGCAAGAGCATCCGAGTGCGGGTGCAGACGTCCGCAAACGGCTTCTTATTCCGGGGATGCATTTTCCAGGCAGCGCTGGAAACACGGGCTTTTCGTTGTGAATAGCGCGCCCGCTCGCCCTCCCCACTCCGCCACGTACTCTAGTTTAGCGCCTTTCCAGGGTCGGCCTCCAGCAAGAGCAGGAAGGCGGGCAGGTCTCCGGCTCCTCCCGGGACTGGATCCTCTCCGCATAACCCCAGGGGTCGCAACCCTGGTCTGCGGTCAAAGGGCGGAGGGAGCCTAGCGCCCCCCGCCCGCCGGGAGCCGGGGCCTTTCCAGCCGGGTCGGCGCGCTGCCTCCCTCCCAGTCGGCCCCGTGTCAGGCTCCGCGTCCGAGGCCGCAGCGAAACAGCGAAGCGCCGCACCCCCAAACCCACGAGGCGGGCTCAGAAGAAACTTTCTTGCCCCTCGGCGAGGTCGGCGGTGGCCTCACGCTCGGCTCCCCGCGCTCTCCCCCTGCGCGCCCTCCGGCAGATTGGAAGCGGCCCCGCCGCCGGCCGGGCTGGGGGCGAGGGCGAGCTGCTCCCCGGGGAAGGCGGGTCCGGCTCGGCTGCAAGCTGTCGGGGAGGCGGGAGGGCGGGCGCCGAGGGGCCCCGAGCAGACAGGCCCCCGCCCTGGCTTGGTGAGCGCCTCCTGCCACCGGCCGAGCCTGGCCTGCCTTTCATTCTCGTTTGGTGGGTGCGGAGGGGGGCATAAATCACCGAGCAGCGCTGACCGCCCTGGCCCTTCCCAGCCGGCCCTCAGCCGAGGCGCCCCGGGGGCTTCCTCGCCCCTCTCCTCTCTCTCACCCCGACCTCTATCTCCCCGGGGGCCTCATCTCCTCCCGAGCGTCCAGGGACCCAGCTTGGGTCAAGAGGATCCCCTCCGGGCCTGTTAAATGTCATGATGCCCCTGGGCCAGGATGCACAGGACCCGCCGGGCTGAACGGAAGTCCACGTTCTGCTCTGCCCTTCCCCGAGGTGCATCTGCCAGCAGCGCAGGGACCCTTACTGGCTTCCGTGTCTTAGGCTGACGTTTGCATCCCTCATCCAGCGAAAGCAAAGCCTGCGGAGGCGCTGAGCGCTGCGCTGGGGGGTGTGTGTGTGTGTGTAGCCGGTGAGGGACAGGACAGTGAGGCCCTCCTGCAGCCCTGGCCGGCCTCTTGGTGCTTCTTAGGGCCCAGCAATATTGATTATGTTCTTAGTTTATCATTAATATCGAATTATTATTGTCTATTATAATATAAAGCATGGTGTGTGATTTATTTCATTTGGAATTTAGGATTCAGCTCTCTCTAGCTCCGTTCTCTTTTCTCCCTCAACCTGGATGGCTTTTGTACCTCCTCCAGGCTGCAGCAGAGAGGGGTGTGTGTGTGTGTGTGTGTGTGTGTGTGTGTGTGTGTGTGTGTGCACGCTCGCTCAATCTGGGTTCTTGTTTAGCTGGGAAGGAGCGTCCGGGGCTCCTGGGGGGTGACCCACTCTACCGTTTGAGAAAGGACCTGGTCAGTGCTGGAGGGCAGCAAGGTCTCCAAGGTCCAGCACAGCCAAGTGTGACCAGGGCAGGTCATTTAACCTCAAGAGCTCTGCTTACACAGCAGGAGGCAGACCTCTTGCCCGCTTACCAGGGAGGAAGTGGGCCTGCTGGAGGGGCTGTGGTGGTGGTGGGGGCACTCAGGGGTGAGTGCCACAGGGGCATGCCCAGGACCTGCTGTCCTAACCAGGAGCACAGACTGCCTGCCACTTTCGGGGCTCTGACCCCTCCTGCGCAGCCCCCAACCTCCTCTTGGACTCTCTACCTTCGGATTCCAGCCCCTGCCCATCCCGTCCTTTGAGGTTGCTTTCTTTTAAACCTTCAACCTCTTGATGGACCCAGAGCCCTAGAAGCCACCCAGTGGCCCACAGAGAGACACCCACAGAGGAGCCATTGCTCTTCTCCAGGGGCAGGAAGGGCAGCTATGTGGACAAGCCCCCGAAGGCCTGGGCTCTGGCCCTGCTCCACTCTGGACAGAGCCTCTCTCTTGCCTGGACCTCAACTTCCCCTTTGGTACGAGAATGTTCACATCAGAGTTTGCAGGGAAAGACGCCAGTGGGAGAGGCCCACGGATGGAGATGGAGCGGCCTGCCTGTAGGATCCACATCGTCTGCTCTACCTGGGGTTGTTGGCTCGGGTTTGGGATCAGGAATGGGGCTGGGTGTGTCTGGGCCTCGGGCTGGGCTGTGGTTCTTACTAGCTTCCTTCCTCCCAGCCCCACAGCCCTCTCCACTGAAAAGCACGGGAAACAGCTTGTTTGGGTCACCTGGCTCAGCCGGCAGAACCACACGGGGAGACGTACTCAAAGCTTTTGGAGAATGACCCTGAGGTCTTCTCTGCTCCCTGCTCATGAACGAACTCTCGAACTCTGGCTTGAATCCCATCATTCAGGGTTCTGAGTGGCTGGTGTCAGGGGTGGTATAATGTGGGCAGGGTGCTGTGGTGAGGATATGGACTCCAGAATCAGCCAGACCTGAAGTGGACTCCTGGCTCTGGAATCCAGTGCTCTGGAATTGAGGCAAAGGAGGTGAGTCTTGCACAGCTTTATTGAAACTGTAGCTATTTTGCCCATAGGGATTTTAAAATCTTGATTATAAAAGTATTGCATTAGAATATTGTTTGTCTTGGTTACTGATTTGGGGGGGCAACCCTGTAAATCTTGCACCTTAGGCAAGGGCCTTACCTGCCTCATTATAGTCTCAGTCCTGCTCTGTGACCTTGAACATGCACTTTCTGAGCTGCGTTTTCTTCAGCTGTAAGATGGGCATGCTGTTGCCCGCTTCACATGGCGGTTCTGAGGACTCTGCCCTTGGCTCGGTTGGAGGATAGCAATTATGCAATTCCTAGTACAACTACTAACAACAGCCAGCACTTGTCTCTGGCAGGTTAGTGCCCCCAGGCATGTCTCCCTATTCCCCACTGGAGAGGTCAGCACCCTGTCTGCCCCGGGACTTCTGACCAAAACCAGCTTGTAATGTGGGGTGAGCTGGGGAGTTCAATGACATAGGCCAGGCTGGGTGCTAATACCTCTCTGCTCTGCAAACAGATGGGCTGGACAAGGATTTGGACATTTTGTGGGCCTGCAGGTCATGCTGTTCTCAAGCATTTGTGTTGACAGAGCTCAAAACCCCATGTAGCTCCTGAAACCAAAAGGAGCATATACTTTCTTCCCCTCCCTCCTCCCTCCCTCCTTCCTACTAAGCATGTACTTACTCTGCCCCTCACGGGGCACCGTGCTGGTTGCTGGAGATGTCATTGACAAGGACCGCATGGACCTTCACGGAGTTCAGCATGCTGTGGAGCCTATCAATCTAAAATTTGCTCTTCATAAATGACTTCTCATTTGTGGATTCAAGTTTATAATTTACCTGCATTCAGCTCTAGAAACCTGTATAAAAAGCCAACCTCATGTTTTGTTTGTTTTTTAATGATGATTCCAAGCATCAAAGGGTTTCCCAGATAAAAAGAAATGCAGCCAAAGGACTGTTTTGGTCATTAGGATGAACACAAGAGAGGCCCCTGCTTGGAATCACAGGTCTGGCTGCAGTGCAGGCCCCCTTGGCACCTGGGCTGCTGCTCTGCTTGCTGCCAGAGAGGCACCTTCTCTGGACCCCTGAACTCTGTGGTTTCTAATCCAGCACTAGTTGGGCACTGGGGTGGGTGAAACAAAAAGCCAGACAATCTCTACCTGCATCCAGAGATGGGATTTGGATCTGAGGCTTGTGAGCGGTGCTTCCTTTTGAGACATCGAGGAGGCCCCAGCCAGGCAGGGAGCAGAAATCGCCATGGACTCATTGCCAGCACCCCCTCTCTTTTCTTCTATCCAAGAAGACTAGTAGTGATCTAGTTATAGCAAAGAGAGAAGGAGGGAGAGAGAAGCAGGCAGTATGGGAATGAAAGGATTTGGGCTTTTAGTTTAAAAATCTGGAACTAGATTGAAGTCAGTGGGGTTCAGCATGAGGAGAAAGCTGAACCCACCAGCCTAGAGGTCTGTTCGAGGCCTAGTCTGGCTGCTCAGCAGCTCCACGGCCCTGTCTGCTCTGGCAGGACTAGACGTTTCCTTAGGCTGCTCCCAGTTTCCTAAGTCCTGTTTCCCAAGGCTCCATCTCAGCCCTCTTGCACCCCAGGCCTGCCCCTGCTTCCCCTCTGGCCCAGCACACAGTAGCATGAGCATAGCCTACCCCACTTGAGAGGGGACTTCAAAAATTTCAAGCCGACAAGTGAGGGTGCAGACCGGCTGCCTTCTTACAGCTCATGAAGCCAGTTCATGCGGACCTCTTTGGGGTAAAGGAAGTCCCTGATGGGGTATCGCCAAGAAAACCCTCCAGGAGGCAGGATATTCCCAGAGGCTAACCAGCAGGGAAATGAGCTAAAACAGGGCACAGGCCTTACCCCTGGTGGTGGAAACCCTCGCGTGGCATTTATTGGTGTGTGTGTGATTAGGAGGACTTGGGGTGGAAAGATTAGCAACCCCCATTTCTACCCATCTTTGAGAAGTGGTTTTGGGGGGCAGGCTCTGGAACGCATGGCGACCAGTCACTGCCTGGAGCCAGCTTGCTGCGCACTCCGGCCTCCTTCCACATCTGGTTCCCGCCTGTGGGGTGGGGAGCGGATGGTGGAGGGAGGCTAACAGACAATCCCCGAGGCCCCTCCAGGCTGGATCCTTTGGGAACTCTACCCTGGGTCCTGAAGGGCAGGCAGAGGCACCCCGATTGTGCTGGGAGCGTTCCCCAGCCAGAGTCAGCGTGAGCGAGGACGGGCATTCGGCTGATACAACAGGATACCTGAGAATTCAGAATCAGACTGGAATCTGAACTGGGGCTTTGGGCGCAAGTGATGCATGAGGAGGGAGGAGCCAAGCTGCGGGAGGGAGCGGCGGGGGCGGGCCCGGAGCCTGGTGGCCTCTGACGCAGACTCGCCAGTGGGTGGCGCTGTAGGACAAGGCGCTGAGGGGCCCTGGGCGGAGGGGCTCCTGAGCCTCGAGGCATCTCCGGGACAGGATGGAGGGCGGGTTCCCAAGCATCTGTCACAGCCCCGACCACCCTCACAGCACTCGGTCCCCCCTGCTGAGTGGGGCAAGATGTGAACAAATAAACAAGAGCTTTTTGGAACCACGTACAGACTATCTCCTTGGCCCAAGTCCTTGGGAAAGCAGGCCTGGACTGGCCACTTCCTGATGGCACCCTCTCCCTGCCATAGCCCTGCTTCTTTCCCAGAGCTTGCCCCACTCTTCAGGGGATACAGCCTAATTTCAGGCCTTCGCCTGTCCCCTTTCCATAGGGATTGCTCAGCAAAAAAGTGGGTTCAGTTAAAAATATCTTCACCTTCTGGATGCACCTAGACACAAAGGCTTCTGTTCCTTTGAACATCTCACCCTCTTCCCCCAGCTCACAGGATTCAGTGTGCTTTATTAATAAGAAAAGAGCAGTTCACATTAATCTATTGCTTAAAATGCCAGACCCAGTGCTAATAATGTTATACACATTCTTTAATGCAGTCATTATCTAATTTAGCCTGGGAGACGTCCTGTGTCAGGGTCCTGTCTCACAGGCAGGCACAGAGAGGTTAAGACACTTACTTGAGGTCACAGAGAAATTACCAGTGGAGCTGGGTTTCATGCTCTTGTCCACTTGGAGTGGCTGCTGGCACAGTGCCCAGGCCCCTCCAGCTCCCACGCCAGGCTCACTGCTCCCTGTGGGTCAGAGTGCTTCAGGGTGGCTTTAGCCAAGGTGAGTGGGGAATACTTGTTTCCTCTGGTTCATGGAGGGTGACTTCAGACCCTTGGGGTGGGGTGCTGGTAGGGCCCTGGCTTGGGGCAGGTAGCTGATGGAGTTAGTATGTGTGATGTTTTTGTGGAGTTGGTGGTGTGGGTGGGGAGGAGATGGGAGCACAGGCTGGTCAAGACTCAGATCAGTTATCACGAGACTTGGGTGTGTCTCCCTGCAGAGGCTGATGGACAGGCCCTGCCCAGCGCTTGGTCTGTAGGCGGCTAAGCCGTAGCAGACCTTCATGCAGTGGGTCATTCCACAGGTAGCACTGGCCACGTACCGTACGCTGGGCCCCTGAGATTTTAGACCCCTGATCCCATGCAACTCCCCTTCTGGAGGAGAGAGGGGTGCTGACAAGGCATCAGCGCTTTACGGAGAGCAGAGCAGGTTGGTGTGAGCTCGCGGCTGTTGTGGGGAAGGCCTGTTTGAGGAGGGACTTGATTTTTGAGTTGGGATCTAAATGACAAGGAGTGGGCAGGCGTTTCAGGTGACCTGGGTCCCAGTGTTCCAGGCAGAGGAAAAGGCAAGCAGAAAGCCTAAGTCAGGAGTGAGCAGCCCTGGCCGTGGGTAGCCATGAATGCTATCAGAGGTGGGAGATGAAGCCGCAGGGGTGGCCCCCGGCTGCCTCGCCCGGGGTGCTGCGGCCTAGTGTGCTGTGTGGACCACACTTCATGAGCAGCAGAGGCCCCTGAAGTGCTAAGAGGCTGCTCGGATTGGGAGGTAAAGCAGGGATAGGGTAAGGCCTCTCCATGGACACGATGAGCTTAGAGAGAAGCAGGTGGATTGGGCGCATTCTGGAAGTGCAGCTCATGGGCTTGTTGATGGATTCAGTGTGAGAGGGCAAGGCAGCTGTGTGGAAGGGTTTGGCTTCAGCAGCTGGGTGATGGTCTCACACGTGACATGGGAAAACACAGGAAGCAGCAAATTTGGTGAAAAAGTCAAACGTCCCGTCTGGGCTATGCAGGTCTGAGATGCGCACCAGACACTTGAGTGAAGATGTCCGGTGGACCGCTGGATAAATGAGTCTAGAATTTCAGGGAGAGCTCCAGGGTAAAGATCAATAATTGGGAATCCTCAGACTAGAAACAGGATTTAAGAACTCGAGTCCTTGTCCAACTCCCTGCCCGCACTGCAGGGATGTCTCGGAGGTGATCCACCTTGATCTGCATGGTAACAGCAACATCTGAAGGGTTGGAGGTTGGTTCTTGCACCAGTTACAGGTTTACTGGTTTTCAAATAAAGACCCAAGAGAGGGTGACAAATAGCATTTTTAATTGAAAATGAATCTGTCTATAATTTGTGGGAAGAAGCCAAAGAACATGAAGAAAGACTGAGGTAAGAAGTGCCTGGAGTTTGGCTGAGGCATCCCTTGGCCTACGCATTTCCAGCCGGCCCCCTGACCCAGAAGGCTCTTCAAAAGTTGGTCTTGGTGGAGAAGCCCATCTCGGTCTGCTTGAGCAATAGGGCCCCAGCATTGGGGGGGTGGGAGGAGGCCCTCAGGCCTAAGCATCGGCTCATCCTGTTGTCAGGGGTTTCAAAGAGATCACACTGTCGAGGTGAGACCTCAGGAATCCCACAAAGAGCAATTAGAACTCAGGTCTGGAATATGAAAGTGAGGACTTTCATGTTACTGTCATGCTTTCTGTGGTCAACACAGGGGCTGTTCTTAACTTAATGGGCAGAGCCTTGGAAATGACCCTCAGCCTGGAGTCTAATATCTGCCCTGTAATTTGGGTTTGTCTTATCAGGTGGGGGCTTGAGAAGAAAGGGTAGGTGGCCTCCAGAAAAGGGGGTGTTCCTAGGTAGAAGGCTGCCAGGACTAAGGCAAGCTAGTGTTGGCCAACCTAAAGAGAGGGACTCTTACCGAAAATAATGAATCTAAGGCCTGACTCTGAGGTCCCAACTGAAAAGAACCTGCATAAAAATGGGGTAGTGTCATGTGAGTTGGAGCGAGAAAGGTGAGTCCTTCAGGAATTTTCTGTGTCAAGAAGGCTTTAGGGGTGGGTGTAGTTGCCCATCCGCAGGGTCCCCTGGCACGCAGCAGACTCCTCCTGGTGGGCTTTGAATGCTCTCTGGCGGTCAGCCTCAGTGGGAAAGGTATCGAGATGGGGGCCCACCTATAGACAAAGGAGAAGAGCAGGTCAGTGGGCATGAGGGCTCTGGGGGCCTGTCCCCAGTGCGTGCCCCCTCCAACTTCCATCTTAAAGCAATAATAAAAATTGCTGTAAGGCAAAGAAGCAGGGAGTAAGTGCATGAACACCCTGGCCCTGAGGGAAGTTGAGCTCTGGGAGGGGACACAGAGAGAGCAAGGGCTGCCAGGGCACCAGCTCTTTTTCTTCCATCCGGCTCATCGCCTGGGATGGTATGTGCATGATGAATACACCTGACGATGGCAGAGCAGTGGGACCAAATAGCCAGTGCTGTCCTTCACCTGCTGATTCTGCACCATTAAAAACCCTGAACAAGCCGCCGTCTGCAAGGGGACCTCCTGGCACCGCCAGCGCCCCTTCAGGGGAGGATGACCTCGTTGGTCCCTCCTCCTGGGTGGCAGCCACCCCAGGAATCGAAGGGTCAGCCCCCTTCCAGAGGAAAGACACAAGGCAGACAGACCCAGCGAGCAGGGTTCTCATCAGTTAAATCTCAGCCTGCCCTTCCTTCTCAAGAGACAGTGGCAGGTGAAAGCCCCTCCTGTTCCCTCAGTCTGTTATATCACCTCCAAGTACAAGAAAATTCCCCCTAAAATGGCATTTCTTCTTTCGGATAACCTAAGGGAGGCACAGGGGAGAAAGGTTTCAGGCTTACTTGTTTATTTCACATTCATTCATTCATTCATTCATTCATTCATGCAGCACGTATTTATTGAGTGTGACTCAGTGCCAGGCCCTGGGGATACAGCAGTAAATGAGGGACCCACTCTCCCTTCATGGAACTTTTCATCTACAGGGAGCCAGCATCAAGGGTGATTATGCAGCTTTAGAACTGGTGGAGTGGTGGGGGGTGTACAGCGAACACAAATAGCAGGAGCTTAACCCTGGCAGGAGTCAGGGGGTCTCTCTGGGGACCAGACATGAAGGAAAGGCTTGAAGGATAAGCAGGGATTTCCAGGCTAAGGGGGCAGCATGGGGCCCTGTGGCCCACGAGAGCTCAAGGTCACAGAGGGACATGGTAGTTAAGGTGGAGGGTCTGCAGGCAGGTTTCCTCTGATGTGCAGGAGCAGCTGAAGGCTCTGCTATGTCTTCAGGATAAAGCAGGCCCCAGGCCCCAGGCTGGCCACTGGTTTGGTCAAGAATCCAGGCCAAGTTGCCCCTGGGAGTTTAGCTAAGCACCCAGGGCTGCAGGCAGCCTTCCAGTGACAACAGGTCAGAGAAAACCAGGGAGAGGAAGAAATATTAAAAGGAAGTAGAGGAGGGACTTACAGGGAAAGTCTCTGTGCCCCGTGCCCCATCCTGGGGTCCCCCCCCCCGGGAGCAGAGGCCTGGGATAGGCCCGGGAGAGGGAGCTGCAGAAGCTTATTGGAAACCCATACAAATCAAATGGCTTTGAGCAGATTTACTTATTCCAGGACATAAAATAAGTTCTTTGCTTTCTGGAGGATGTAGACCCTTTGGAGACTGCAGAAAGCCACGGATCCTTTCTTCTGGAAAAACAAAAACAAAACAAAACCCCACAAGCCCTGCGGTGTAAAGCAGGGCAGTCCATATCAAGATTTGCAAGTCTCTCCACAGACCACCCATGGCAGCATTTCCCGGAGCCACCTAAGCCCCAGCCTCAGGTTTGGGATTCTTAGATGTGCATCAGGATCATCCGGGGCTCTGGTAACCCACACAGGGCCTAAGTCACATCCCAAGGCTACTGAGTCCACCAGTACAACCTTGCCACAGTCACCTAATCCCACCCGACCGGGCCTACTACCTGCTGCTCAACTCATTTGGATCAGTCGAATGATGATCATGTTCTCAGCTCAATCTCCAGTTTCAGAAAGACTCCCAGTGGCTGCACAAAAGTTACCAAGAGGAGAGAAGACCCTATATATACATTGTGCAGTAAGAAAAAAGCCAACAAACGGAAGGCTTCCAAGGTGTACCTTTGTGTTTCCCCTGGCAAGGGATGGCTTCATTTTTACAGTGTGACATGATTTTCCTGGCACACATACTTTCCAGAAGGCAGCTAGAGATGCTCAGGGAGGCTGGCATGTGAGGGCTTTTAGGTCTCCAGTCTTCCGTAGCATTCCGCACGGCAGCAGTTCTGTGTCTGGTAGCCAGTTACCAGTGGTTCTTAGCACAGAAGTGTAGCTGTTGCGGTCTACTTCTCTGCTGTCTCCATGCACCCTTCCCTGACCCTTGTAATGGGTTGAATGCTGAGCCCCCAAAAGATATGCCCACATCCTAGCCACTGGAATCTATGAATGTGACCTTATTTGTAAAAAGGGTCTTTGCACGTGTGATTTAGTTGAGGACCTTGAGATGAGAACTTCCTGAATCATTCAGGCAGGCTCTAAATCCAAAGCATCCTTCCAAGAGACACGGACCCAGAAGGGGAGGCCGTGGGAGGACAAAGCCACAGATTGGAGTGACACAGCCGCTGCTCGGGAATGTCAGGAGCCGCCAGTGCTGGGAGAGGCAAGAAAGAATTCCCCACGGAACTTCCAGTGGGAAGGCAGCCCTGCTCAAACCTTGGTTTGGGATTTCTGGCCTCCAGAACTGTTGGAGAATATGTTTCTACTGTTCAAATCACCACGTTTGTGTGATTTGTTACGTCAGCCTCAGGGAACAAAACAAATGCCCTGTGCAGGTCACTCTCTGGGCAGCTCAGCGTGTAGGAACGGTGGGGGGTGGGCGACACTGATGGCAGGTGGCACCGATGGCAGGAGGCTCAGAACCCCTTTCAGCTCCTGAGGAGGTGGCAGGAGGGCCCAGGCCCTGAGGAGCCACTCAGCTGAGAGGTAATCAGGGTAAAACGAGCACTAAGATGAAAGAGACCCTAGTAGAAAATTTCATTTTTGCGAACTACTCTTAGAAACTTCAGTGAATAAGAAATGTTCATTCATCCATCCACCTACAAAATATGTATTAAGCACTTCTATGTGCCAAGACGACACACTGTTTATACGTCAGCTTCCAAGTCCCATTTTCCCTTGGTTGTCTAAGGGGGTGTTTTGGGCATTGGAGGCTCACCCCCATGTCTGGCCACCCACATTCCGGCACCTACGATGTTCTCTGCAGCCTTGGGCTGACCCGGGGGTGGGCGGCAGAGGCGGAAGGCACACATAGTCTCTCAATTCCCATTCCAACTGAAGTGTCAAGGAGTTAAGTCTTCCAAGACAGGGCAGCTCAAATGAGTGCTCCACCCCGAAGCTCTATGAGGCGGGTCTGTGCCTGTGCTGTTCCCCGGGGCCCCCGCAGCCAGCATGGAAGGCTGAGGAAATGAGTGAGCCAGGGAAAGAAGTGGGCAGAATTGCCCTGGTCTCAGGGGCTCGGGGGCGGCACTTCGTGAGTTTGGCGTGACAACCAAAGGGGATGCTGAGCATCTGGGCCTGATGGACTCTCCAGGAAGCTACCTCAAGCGAACCCTTACCACCACTGTGGGATGGGTCTTTAGAAAGAGAGGGAAACAGGGACCGCTCTGTACCCAGAAATCCCTGAGTCCCTGAGCAGCACACAGGAGACCACGGAGAGGAGAGCCGGCTGGCAGAGTGCCAACAAGCCGGGAGCCCCCTTCACATCTGCCCTGGAGCCCTTGGCTGGGATCTCAGAGCGTCGTGATCACAGACTGGCTGTTTGCTGGGTGCGCTGTTTGCCGAGCATTGTTTCACACAAGCCTCAGAACATCCAGGTATTGTCTCCGTTTTGCAGATGGGGAAACGAGGCCCAAAAAGGTGAAGTCATTTCTCCATTTGCATGACTGGACCCAGATCTCCACTCTCTTGATAAAGGCTCATGAAATGGGTCTCACAAAAGTCACTGCTGGGGACGTTGTGGCTCCTGTCCCACACGCATGCTGTCCCTCCTAAAATAGCTGCTCCAGCCAGAGATGAGGATCCTAATTACAAGTCAGTCCTCAAGCTGCGTGTGGTCACGACCCCATGGACCCCTGGAGTCAAGGAATGAAGAGCTATGGAGCAAGGAATTCCTTCTGAGATGCTTCTAAATTAAGCCATCTGCGGTCTGTCTCTGCCTGGAGCTAAGAAATTGTAACAGCGTTGGCAGGAGACAGCTTTGCTGAATGGAGCTGAGTTGTTCTAAGGTCAATGTAGGTAAATAAGAGGTGAGTGCCAGGGCCCGCCAGTAGCCCTGGGAGCTGGGCAGGCAGAGGTGGCTCTACCTGGGTTGGCCAAGATGTTGGCCCTGTGTCCATGGGGGGCATCTAAAATAATATTGCCTGAATAAGGACCCCCAGCTCCATGGCACAGTACACCCTGTGGGCACACGGGTGAGTAAGCCAAGCCAGGGAGCTTGCCCACGTGGAGCCTGCACAGTGGCCCAGAGGTGACTGCTAAACACACAGGACATGTAACTGTAATGGCAATTGAATTAGACTATGGACTGGGGCATTCTAACTGCATCTCAGTGGCAGGAGGGCCTTTCTAGAGGGGATGAGGGAAGAGGAAGGTGAAAATGTCCGGATGCTGGGGACCGGCCCAAGCCCCGAGGTGGGACGCAGCTGGGCAAATTAGAGGAAATGAAAGCAAATCAGAATGGCTGAGAATGAGATGAGGCAGGGGAGGTGAGCAGCCATCGGGTCTTAGAAGGGATTTGTATTCAGCCCTGGTCCTAAGAATCGTGATCCCATCCCCAGATGATATCCTTTGCCTCTGTGCAACCCTCTTAGAATAAAATGAGTCCGAGAAACCTGGGGTCAAAGAGACCTTGGAGAGCACAGATCTCCTGTGCTACAGGTGGGAAAAAAAAAATCCCAGGCCCCAGTGGGCCGTGATTCTCCCAGGGCCTCCCAGAAGTCCTCCTCGCCGAGCTGAGGCCAGCTTGTCTGTCACCTTTTCCAGAACCCACTCCCCTGACTTGTGGTCTCCTCCGTGGGACCGAGATTCCTGATGCCATTTCCTGATTCACTTGAAAGCGTCTACACTTTCCTGATCCACTTTCAATGAGCTGACTTTTCA